TAATGCCATGTCTTTTTCCTTATAATCACAGTTTAGTTTAAAAATCAAATACTTGGTATCATGGAAACTTGACCTAGCTGTACAAAAGCTCCTAAATAGAGTATAGTCAAAAAGTTTCCTCTTTGCAGATGCCATTAATTTATAGTCACTTTAGTACAGATAAATATGGAAAACTACTTCCGATTACTGGACAATAAAAATTTCAGTGTGTCACTACCTATAATTAAGTAGCAAGCACACCACAACCACAACCATGGTGAGTTAACATTCTCATCTCCTCCACTGCCTTTTGGGGGTCTTTTCCAGGCCACAGGAGCTAGTTTACATGGATACCATTGGGTTTCAACCTATCTCTGAAAGTTTCTTCATTATGAGTTTTGAAATTTAACTAATGGAATGCTTACAATTCCAATCAGCCAGTTCTTTTCTTATTCTTCACTAATTAGTTCAAATACAATATGTAATGTTTCCGATTTTTATAAACATAGGTGTTTTATTAAAATGATTAATGATATTCAAAATACCATTAATGGATAATAAGTTAATAAAAATGAAACTAAGAGTATTTTAGAGAGTAATTTTTTCATAACTAGAAAAGCACATAGTAGTGTGGCCAAGCAGTCTAAGGTGTTGGATTAAGAAAAGCTACAGGATTCATAATGAACATAGATATAATGATATTTTAACCTTGCTGTTTTATAACATCAGTAGTATAGCAAATGCATAAAGTATAGAAAAGAAAAAGAAAATTTCAGGAGAGAAACCTACTAAAAACTTGAATTTTGGATGTCTCAAACACAAAAGGGTTTATAGTGCTTATAAGCACTATCATCATTTTTTCCATGCAAATAGTTCAGATCTTCATTCCATTTCAAATTATAATCCAGAAATGAAAATTTTCAGCAAAAAACTCTGCTCAGAAAAATCTATTTCATTATGCAATATATCTTCTTAATTTCAGCTTTCAAATATTTAAGTAATACAAACCCAAGTATTTTCTTTTATAGCAACACATTTGTAGATTGAGCTTCAAAGATGGAAGAAAATTCATTTAAAATAATTGATACACTTTTAGGTCCAAAGATATCACACCCAAGACATGATACTGTAATCACACAGAGTGGTATGAAAAAGAGAAAAAAAAAGGTGGTTCAACATAACTAATGTCTTCTTTTTAAAAAGAATCAAAAACAGATTGCCTTAATATGTAACTAAATTCCCAGTAAAAGGACATTCTAAAATCTAATGAACTAAAGAAAAAAAGAACAAATCAATTCTGAAATAAAGATAAAGCTGCTTTACCACATACTTATAACTCTTTTTCCTCTGTGCATAATTACTAGCATTTGTCTTCTGTGTAAAATAGGGCAAGTTGCTGCCAATAACAAAACTCTCCTAGCATAGAGCACTGTTAACTTTGTCTATCAATTGAATGACTGATTAGTATTAAAAGCCTAAGTCTATATCACTTTGGAATGTAGTATAAAATGCTTATTAAAAGCAATTTAAAGAAGAAAATAAAACTGATAGTATTTTCATTTATAATATGAAGAAAACAATTCATAAAATGGTATCGAAGGCTTCTGTGTTATGTAAAAAAGAAATATCTGTATCATTTTAAAAGTGAAGGTCTTTAATTTTTGACAGCTTGGGGGAAACTTTTTTTTTTCTTTAAATCTGTAAACTTTAGTGACATATTTATGATGTTAAATATTTTTAGTTCAGCAAAAACTAAAAATAGTTGTCATTAAAAGATTACTTCTGTCTTTTACAATCTTATAATGAACAACTTTAAATTGAGAAAAGTCATCTGAGATATGCTTAAGATGAAGTAAGAGCTATTATTTGTCCTATCTTTTGTATATATGGGATTTAGATTCACATTGAGATATATAAAATTTCAAGGTTTTTTTGGTAGAAAAATGTTAACAACTCTGAAAATAGGAAAAGGTAATACTTTAGTTTGCAACTATTAAATTATACTTTTAATTTCCTTTAGCATAGAATCATGACTCAAGGAATGGAGCTCTATTAATGTAACAGTGTATAAATTCAATGTTTCCAGTACTCTTACCTCACAAAAACTAATGGCTAACTAAAAATGAAGAAAAGTTTTATTAGGCACTGAGAGGCTAAATAAATAAGTACTCACATTAACCAAAGCTGGTAAACCCTATTTCCAGTTCCTGTGATCTCACTGTTCAGCCAGAACTGTTGGCTATTCCCAGTCTAAAACCAACAAGCTGGATCATTTCCTTACAGAAAAAATTTCTACAAAAAGGAAGAGAATGCAAAACAATACACAATCTCATATGCAAGATACAATTCACACTAATTTACAATTTTTATTTACACTGTTTTATATACATTCCAGGCAGACCTAGTTGATGAGTTTTGTGCTCATACTGATCTCAGATGATCATGTGAACAATATGAATTACTACCACATCTCTTTGATTTTCCAGAAAATGGTGGCAGCATGGGGTTAGGAGGAAAAAAATCACTGGTCAGGTAAGATCATACAAGTATGAAAGGAAAAAAAAGGAAAGAAATTGTGGAATTTTGCTTGTTAAAGCATCCAGGCCACTATGGTCTACTGACTAACATTGAATATACATGAATGCCCCTTCTAACAGCCATTTTCATATTTACAAAATGAGTTTACTATCAGTTGAATTATTAGGTAAGGCATTCAAGTTCCTTAGCTTAACATAAAAAAGGCAACAGATATCTCAGCAAGCCACAGGACAAATTGTAGAGGGTTGATTTTACAGTGCTGTTGAGATTTACCTTCCTTTAGAATCCCATAATTGATCATTATAAAGGGAAGCAATTTTGAATCCTATTGCTAACCTGCATGAAGATCCCAAAAACCTATAAAGGAAGTAGGAGCATCACAACACTCAAAATCTAGCAAAGAGTGGGGGCAATAGATTAAATATCTTACTTTGTTCCCAAGATCCACTGCATACTTCTGGGGCTAAAGTGAGTGCCTTTATTCCTGGTTACCTTCATTTCTGTATGACCCTCTCTAAAACACAATAGTATCAAAGCTGGCAGCTATGCACAGTCTACCAACAATGGTTCAGTGAATCTCTATTCAAAATAGTTTGAAGAATATGCAGTAAGGTAGAAGAATTATATTCTCTCCTCCTATAGTTCTACAGATATATATGCACTTTAGAAGGCAGAAAGCCAAAAAAAAAAAAAAATTCACAAGTATTATTTATTCTTCATCGTTCTATGAAAATGTTCAACCATAGATGAAAATTCCACCAAAAATAAGTTTTCAAGTTCACTCTAGCATTATAAAAAGCTACTACTAATTGTTTAATTGGTTCCATTCATTTAATCAACTAGGCAAACTCTACTGATCTTATAGTAATATGGTTTATAAAACAAAAGTGAACATTTATAACATTGGGGAGGTAGAAACTAAGTCTTGGTCTAACACTGTTATAGATACAAACACATTTTAAGATTCTACTTATGTAACTAGAATTTACCATTTGAAATGGCCTTTAAGTGTTTCTACTTACTTTATTAGCTTTAAATATCTTGAGATAATCCAAGTATTTTAAAGCACTTGTCTGAGAATAAAAGCCATTTGGAATAATACATCAGACTCCCCAGAAGATTTCTCAGAGAATAAATTTGTAGCTGCATATTTTGAATATGCAGATCCAGTAAGCCAACTTTGTACATGGGCACTTATGTGACCAAAGTGCAAAGCTTATCAGACTAAGTTTCTAAGTTAACCATGACTGCTCAACTACACACAGCAGACTTCAAAACCTGAAGCCTACTAATCTGTCCCAAAGATCTAATTTCTTTCCATATAATAATTGCCTCTCTCTTACCCCCAAACAAAATTAAAAATACACTTAAAAATAGGAAAAATCAAAACAAACAGAAGCCCTCCTACCGTGGCTATTTCTGCTTAATTCACATTTGTCAGATTTTAAGCGTACAAGATCAATGTCCTAAATGTTCCTTATTTAATTCTTTCAATCGCCTCAACATATTACTCTGAACTTAAATGTATCAAGTAATCATTTGCTATCACTCTAAAGACATGGAACCAACCTAAAACATAAAATTAAACTATAAGGAATGAGTCTGGACAGGTAAAAAAAGAATTAATCTAAATGATATTTTCGTATTTCCAAGTATGATAAATTTTGTATATTTTTTCAAAAATTAACAATACTAGTCACCATTTAATGATCAAAAACATAGACTATCTCAGTAAGTAAAACAAAATTTTTGGTTAGAAACAATTTGATATAGTAAAATTTTAAAAACTAAAACTAGTAACTATAATGACCATATTTAGCATTTCAAACATTATTTAATACAGGTTTTGGTAGCATTAATTCATACTTATTCCAAGATTATATGGTAAATATTTATATTTATATTTATACTGCCAGACTATGTAGAGAGAGGGGGATTTAATTCTAAGTCATATTCCCCCAAAAAGAAATGCTTTCTAATATTCAGTTCAACAAGATGTACCACCAACAGAGACAGTAAATGTATTTCACCCACCTAAACAGATATTTTTATATGAACATTCTAAGTTATCTACATCAGTCAATGACTAGCATTTCGAGAGTAAATGATTCATTTTACTTACAGTGCATCAAGATAAAAAGGTTACACTGAACTAGAATGTTTACTAAAATTAATCCTGTTAAAGTAAAATATTTAAAAATTTCTCTGGAACGTTTTCATTGCTTACACTCAAAAAACAGATGAAAGCAGTCACAGAATCATGTTAAATTTATAATAAATAATTCACATATAACAAAGATTAAAATATCAAAGAAAGGCTTAAACTGACATCTTTATACCTTTTGCAGATTTCACAAGTTTCTAACCCACCACATACTGACAGCAATAGGTATATTTCTTGACATCACTCAGTCTATTTAAAAAATAGATCGATTGTTTAGAGGCATAATTTGTAAAGCAAGATAACCAATTAAATAACAGAATTTTAACAAATATTGGCTTTTTGGAGTTTCTTAAGAAAAGATTCACAAGCACTGGTCAGGTACTTGTGAATAATTAAATCTCTTCTTTACTCAGGCACTTTTAACGCAGTAACCTCAGGCTTCATTTTAAAGTACTGGTTAAAACGAACAATTGCATACCTAGTAAGAAAAGAGAATAACAACAAAATTAGTCAAAGCTGAAAAACTTAATTCTTCCTTTATTTCCACTCACCCTTCTGGTTTTTCAAAAGTTTGATTTTCAAGGGATGTATTTTTAGTTTATTGCACCACCTACTGGACACCTTTATAGTAACGAGAGCACTTAGCTTATAGCAGATTTCTTCAGAGACCAATTACTTAAATGCATGCAGCTTTTATAATATAATATTTGACTAAAAATAACTGCAATGTTCCCTATGAGTTCTAAATGTTAATCCAAAAAAAAGCAGACACAAATGTAATGCATATAACAAAATTTAACTTACCCAAGGAAATCAAACTCAATAGTGGAGTATTTGGCTTGAATCAAAGCCCATAATCCCCAAAAGAAATGAGAAGCCTTAAAAAAAGAGAAGAAAAATCAAGAATTATGATAATGCTTTTCTTTTTTCTTTACATTAAATGGTTATTTATTCAAATGCTGCTCATTTGTTAAGGCGTTAAAGAATGTAATGGTTTAATTGCCGAATTGCTTTAGCATTTCTTACATAAGTATTTTTAAAATTAATTCAATTCTTTTATCACAGGATTCATCTTTTTGGCTGTGTGTGTGGTGGTCAGTTCCACCTTGTCTTCATGGTAGGACCTTGCTATGGCGAGAGTAACCAACCTCCTGATGTGTATTTTTTTTTTCTTTTATTTCAGCATATTATGGGGGTACAGATGTTTAGGTCACGTGTGTTTCTTTACGAAACAAATGTCAATTTGTTAATTCTATCCTCTCCATCAACTCCACACACAATACTTTCTTGCTGTTCTTTTCATATAAAATATCTAAAACACAGATCAAACTGGAATGTATAGTTACTGGATGGCTCCAGATCACTTCTGTGCATACAAGAAGAGCTATGGTAAATTATTTAAGCATTTAGAATAGAGCCCCAATTCCTGTGACCTGCTTTGTACAAAGAAGAGTTTAGCATCAGCACTCATAGATGTCGGTTAAGTGTTTTTCATGGTTATAATTGCTAACAGGCTTTCCTGTACCACATTATCAAAGGCCTTTGTTTTTTGACATAAAAATATAAGCAAAAAAGTCAATCCCAATCCCAGAAAAAAATATATTTAAATATGAAAAATGTTCTAGGAGTGACAAACATCTGAAAATAATTTTGTTGGCTCAATTCTACATAACCAACCACAGCATAAAGTAACACAACTTTACGAAAAAATGAGTCTTAGGACTTAAAGGAAAATTACCATGTAATTAGCAACTATAAAATAATTGTATGTGCTTTACAACGTACTTAACAGGAATTCTGATACCATTAATAAGTTTTGCTTCCCAAAAAATACTATTATAACTACAAATACTGTCAATATAAAAAAATAGTCTTAAAGGTAAGGTTTTTGTTTCAGCTAAATTCACTATAGCAACAGCAACAAAAGGTCTCTAAGAAAAAAGTACTCAATTGTTGTGACCCTGGCATTTTTAAAAAGCTAATTTGGTAGGTGAAGCAGCACAGTGTACCAGAAAGAATTCTTAATGTGAATTACAAGGTACAGAAGTTCAAGTCCAGGCTCTATCACTAACTCCCTTTGCAATCTTTAATAAGTCACAAATTTTTAATGTCATATCTATCATTTGTAAGATGGGAATAGTATTAGCCATTCAGTATTCTACACAGGATTTTTTTTTAAGATTAATGGAAATAATATATGTAAAAAAAATGTTCAATCTAAAGATCTCTATTCTAAAAGTATGTTGCTATAAAGATCTCTACTTAAAAGTCCTACTGCACTTTGTTTTTGTCTTCCCAAAAAATATCACTAACAGAGCTACTCGGGAGGCTGAGGTGGAAGGATCACTTGAGCCGAAGGAGTTCAAGATCAGCCTGGGCAACTTAGCAAGATTCTGTCTCTTTAAAAGAAAAAAAAAAATCACTAACAGGATATATAACTTCCTAGAAAACACAGGTGTAGAAAGAATAAACAATATAGTAAAGAGTGGACAGGTAAAGTCACATGCATGAAGCATAATGGTTTAAAAAAAAACCCGGGCTCCACAGTATGGATTTAAGCAACTTAACATGTGTCTTTGTTTCCTCATCTGTAAAATATATTAATAGCTAATAATATTATCTACACATCACATATAACAAGCATTCAATAGAATATTAGCTATTGTTATTATATGAAATTGGAATGATAAAAATGATAAAGATTTTCAAAAATGGTCTTCTTTCTACCTAAGAAAGCAGCTGAGGAATTGAGAAATAAATTATGAGATTGGACGACTTCCTTCTTTTTAAAGGCTAAATCAGAAATTCTTAAAGTAGTCCATGAACCCAGAGGTGGTTTCTGAAGCCCAAAACTATTTTCACAATAATACAAATAAGTCACTTCCATTTTTTACTACGTTAACATATACATTGATGGTTCAAAAGCAACGGTGGGTGAAGCTACTGGTACATCAATGTAAGCCAAGGCAGTGGCAGCAACTGTACTAGTATAACGGTCTTATTCTTGACCATCGCACACTCAAAAGTAAAAAGCTAGTCTTACTAAAGAATGTCCTTTATGAAGGTATTAAAACTATTAATTTTATTAACTTTCTACCCTAGAGTACATGTTGTTCTAATATTCTGTGGGACAAAAATAGGAAGTACACATAAAGCATGTCTAATGTGTACAATGGCTGTCTCAAGAAAAGCATTTAGGTAATTGAGTTGTGAGTTGAATTTGCACATTTTTAATGGAACACCACTTTTACTTGAAAAAATGACTGATATACAAACTAGAGTTATCAGACTTGGGTATTTGGCAGACATTTTCTTAAATATAAAAAAGATAACTTGTCATTTCAATGAAAATAACTGACAATATTTGTTGCCAATGATAAAATTCAAGTTTTCACCCTAAAATTAGAACTTGAGAAAAGTTGTATTCGATTCTGGAGCTTAACAGCTTCTCAGTATAGTACTATAAGCTTTTCTGATGACACTGGTGGTGATATCAAATCTTTTGGTATCATATAGAGATGTGTCAACGTTTGGGATAGCTACACTATTCAATAAATCAATATTTTCCAAATAACTAATAATGTGAAAATTATAAAATAATGTACAGGCAATCATTCAAAGTGCAGGACAAGCCAATAGATTTTAATGTAAATAGAGTAAAAAGTTAATCAGTGTTTACATTATACATTGCAACTAACCTTTAAGAAACTACCACTTGTTGAGTTTTGGTATAGTATCAAAAAGAATATCCACAATTATCTGAAAAGGCAAAATACTCCTCTTTTTCAACATATGTGTGTGAAACTAATTTTTTCATATATTTCAACCAAAACAATATATTGCAACA